AGACTCGTTTCAAGAATATCGGCCTTAGTTGTATCGTTTTGAATATGAATAAAAGAGTATTTTCTGTATGTGATATACTTTTTTTTTAGTCGGAGTAATACTCTTGTCGCTAATAACGCGACATTAATGTATTTTTAATTTTGTACACGAAGTGCGCAAAAAAATTTCACATGTTTTATAGTTCGCCGCGAAACAAAAAAGTTTGACACGATCCAATTTGTTTGTGAAATTAGTGTTTTTCCCCCCAGTGAGAAGTGTTGTTATAATGATAAAATAATAGCTTTTGCATAAATTATATTTGCTTGAAGCCCTACTGCAAATTATTATTCAAAACAAAATTTAAAATGATTAATGAAAGCTGCAATAGTATGGAGAACGCAATGTGTAATTTGCATATTTATATAATTTACGTGTTTTTATTTAGTAGACTATTTTAAATTATTTAAAAATAATAAAAATAAAAAATTTAATTCAGAAATGAAATATATTGATTGATAAACATAGCAATTAAAAAAAAAAAACATATTGTGTTCATAGATATCAATAAAACGTATAATTTAAATCTGCAGCTCCATCTGTAGGCGAATCGAGTATTAAATTCAAATTAGTTTTAATGTTGATTTTTATTATTAAAATGTACAAATATGTAATAAAATTAAAAAATTTGAAGCCAATACAATTAAACAATTTTGATGAAGAAAGAAACTGTTTAATTTTTAAAAAACAGTTATAATTATTTTTAATCTCTTGTTGTTCGTGCTAATTAATAGAAATGTCACTGACCGTTAAAATTGTTTAGATAAAATGTTAGTTTAAAGTTTAGATATATACCCACAAGGAAAGAAATAAATCTACGAATTGCCAATGATGTAACATCCTGTACAAAAACAAAGCCTAAAAATAGCAAACACATGCAATTGGAATAACAGCGATTTCGAAACAACAAACCAAAAGCTAACGACACGCAAAACAAATTTATTACTGAAATTTTTTAAATGCCCACTAAAATTCATATCCTAATCCCATTTCTCATTAAAATTTCTTAAAATATTGCAAAAATATTTTAAATCTAATTATTTATCATAAAATATTGATATAAATATTTCCGTATCGCTTTCGCGTTCGGGATAATGCCGATTACTATTTCAAGTATTACAAATTTTATTTTGAAAACTTTAAATAGTTTATATACATATAAATTATTCTACATATATTAACACTTCATTATGCTTCTACAGTGATGTATTTATAAAATGTAAAGTGATGTATTTATGAAAAATCATTTAAACTCAAAATTTATTAAATATTATTCTTAAAAGATATTGAGTTATAAATCTTAAAATATTTTTAATATTATATCTATTTTAAATCAAAATTAATAATTAAATATCATTCAGGAAAAAAAATAATAAATTCAAATTTTATTTTTAATTTCAAATTTTATTATTAAATTTCTGTATTGTTACACAGATGGCGTTCGTTTCCTTTAATGCGCCGTCTACAATTGTTTTTATTTCACAATTTTTTTAAAATAAATATGTTATTATTATTACAGAAATTCTATATTATGTTTATTTATCGTAATTTTAAAATAGTTTGGTAGATAAATAATTTTTCTATTTATTTTAAAGCACTTAAATTAAATATTTTCAAAAAAATAAGTTAATATTTGTCGAGAAATAAATCCCATGCATTGCAAATAATCGCGATAGAGACAAACTTAAAAAACATGGAACAGTTACGTAATTTTTGGAATGGTTTACTACGTAGTTTACATATCAATGATATATAAAACTTGAGCAAAAAAATTTAATTCATAATATCCTACGTCCGGTAGCAGTTCACCTTTCATTTAATATCACGCAACGTTTTGCATCACAGGCTAAAATTAAATGTAAAGAATATGTTAATTTCGGCCGTTCCTGAATGTTATAATAGCGGAAAATATTTTTCTACAAAATAATATTTATAAAATAAAAAGTTTTAAACACGATCTTATCGAGAAACTTTAGCCAAAACAACCTTCGTTATGTTTAAAGCGGGACTGAAAAACACAAACGGCGCCAGAGAAAGGAATGCTTTTATTCTTTGCTATTTTTGTAACTAATTTCAACTTCTTCCAGTATCATCAACAAACTTCAAGACGTCAAAAAGTACAATTAAATTATTACTTTCAAGTACAGTATAATGTGTCGCTCTTAACATAAGAAACCATTATGCTTTCGAATCGTTAATTGCACGATATACAAGACGTATTAGCTGGCTAAATATTTACATTTCTTCCCCTTTTTTTTCTAGACACTAGGACCACCTCCGTCTCTTAACCCTTGTACCTTTTGTCAATAACGAATTTCTCGATTCATAAAAAGACGCGACTTACAAAAGATCTAAAGTCCATTTAATTCAACTTTGCCGATATCTCAAAACTCTAAACGACGATTGCTGTTGAAATTAAGCGGTTTCTTTGATTGTATATAAATACTTTCTTGAAGATTTAGCATATTATTTTATTAATTCTTTTTTCTATTATTATTATAGTTTTAAGTTTATCAAAGTACTGGGTAACTGTAGAAGTTTACTTAGTCTGCATAAATAGAGAGCTATTTACAGAAGGTGTGCTGCATATTTATAACATGACCGTATTTTTTTTTTTACTGAAATAGCATCTTATGTTATTAACGTTCAGCCCTTTTTTCCATTTTTCTTTTTTAAGTGGTGCTCCTTGTAATGAGTTCATCGTTTCTCCACAATTAGTCTGATGTTAAATGGCTGCAAGTTACACATGTGAAATGTTTCTACTAATTTATGCTTTTAAAATAGTTTTGTTGCACTAAATCTTATTGAGATTGAACTTCGTAATTGGGTTTTAAAGTATTTAATTTTTTAATTGCTTAGAACCTAATTAAGTCGTATCTATTTTATATCTAGCTGATGACAAGAGGAAAAATCTAAAAGTTTGGCCTTTTACAATCTTACGACACGTAGATGTGAGTGAAAATCGCCCTTCGTATACACGCCGTTATCCTGAGTTTCGCACGCTGTTACTGTGGGAACTACTTCAGTTATTTTAGTGCTCGAAACATGTGGTGTATACTTGAAACGTCACCTGTAGACTACTTTCCTCCCTGGGAAAGTTGTCTTCTTTCTATTTAATGGGAAAAATGTGTGAAAAACTGCCTCCATAAATCTAGTAGACACCGACTAAAGCCAACACACACGACCGAATATTGATTGATAATATACTTTAAATTCCAACATGTATAAAACGGGTCAAGAATAAAGTTTGATTAATATAATAGTAATACAGTATTAGGAATACGTTCAATAAATTGATACCAAACGAGATTGATTCGTAAAAACTTAGTATTAATTTATCGGATTTATGCAATAAGGAAATGCGACGTATGGGAAGACTTTCTGTAGAAAGGTGACCCTATTTAGATGTTACACACGCGAAGAATGAATAAACCCACAACCAGTGGTTTATTCATTGTTTTATTCACTTGGACTGGTGGGCACACCAATGTTCAGTGGTAGTATTAATTAATTAAACTCTGATATTCAAATAAAATATGCTAAAACTTAATAATATGGCATCAAGAGGTATCGATCAATATAATTAAAAGTTCGAGACTTTAAATTTATGCTTAATAGATTAAGCATAAATTTAAAGCCTGGAACTTTTACTAGATTAAGTGTACTAAGGAGCTTTGATCAATAATCCATAATTTATTATCATCACCATGCCGTTTCATTTATAGAATATTTAATAAATGATTTGATAATAGTTTCAACTTAAGTCCTCTTGAGTAACACTTCAGTTAATTCTATTAATTAATGTTTATAATAGTTTTATATTGTAATACCTGAAACATCAGTTGCACTGATTAAAAATTGAAACTCTAATAAAAAAAAAACTTTCAACTTTGCTAATAATAATTAAATCTGGGCATTAGTAGAAATGTTAAATTAATGATAGCAAAAGTTATCACGAAATGCATCTCGAATCTCTACTTTTGCGATGTATAAATGTGATATAATACGCAAAATGATACTAAAATAAAACAGAAAACGAAGAATATTCACTAGAGCGATAATTCTTTTAATTTTTCGGTACTGATACAGTTAACGAAACAATCTTAAAAGCTGAGAAATTAATGAGCATAGCAAAAAAATAAGAAAAGATGAGATTCTAGACGCTTTTAGAAATGACCCGGTTTCTACTCAGCTAACTCAATGAGGATAGTAATACTTTCGTAGAATTTTTTTCCTCCCTTCCGACAGGAAGCACGATAGGATATCCTTGCAAAAGCACAAAAATACACTAAACTACAAAAATAATTATTATGTCAAAGTTTTTAACAGGTAATAAATGTAATATTCGATCAAGTTTAATCAATTCTGTGGCATAGAAAAGCCATAGAGCTTCAGCATTTCTAACAGTTCATCAAAATTAAATGTTTAATTAAAGAATTAGAAATGAAATGATAATTTAACACATAAAGGTAGATTCAATTATCATTCAACAATCAATAATTTAATATTCTATAATAAATTATAAATAAAATTAAGAGCAACTTGAGAAAAGCATCATCACTATGCGAATTAATAACGTCGAATGTCTTAAATTATATATATGTATTATTATTAAAAATGATTGTAATTTATTGAAGCTGACTGAAAGTACAAAAATTTTATTCTGCTTTCATAAAATTGCATATTACGTAGAATTAAAAGAAATTATAGTAATTCCATTTATGCAATCAAATTTCCCAGAAGTATTGCAACATTTTTCAATAAGCGAGAATTAACAGGGAAAGAATTATAATAAATCCATTAAAGAAAAATAACTTACAATCTATTAGCCGTCGGATATTAATTTTTATATGAAAAGTGGCCATTATTAATTTTCTATCGTCCTTGAAAGCATTATAGGAAATAATTACCAGCAGGAAGAATTGATTTTTAGATATACTTAAATAAAAATAAATTTATCTTACCGTTTACTCTTAGATACTTTTCTAAGATTTTTTTCTAGTAAATCGGCATGAATGGGTTCTGCAGATATAGCTAAACGTTTGGTTCGTCCTTCCAATTTGACTTTACCATTTCTAATCGATGAATCCACCCACAAATGCATATTCATTGCCATTTGCTTGGTTAGTGGTTTCATAACCGTTTTATAAAGTTCGAGATCATTTTGCAACTGTTGAATTAGTTCGTTTTTGGCTTCTAATTCCATTTCCAGTTTGTCTATCAGTGTGTCTCTCTGTCGAATTTCTTCGATTTTCTGTTGCAAAGCGTACCGAAGTTCCCTTATGGATGACATCTTCTCTAGATCGTAACGCAGCGACTTAATGAGTTATTTGTCAGGAAAAGTGCAAGCCAAGCTCTCATATAATCTTTCGCCGTTTAACAGTTACTTATAAACATAACATTGGCAGAGGACCAGAGCGGAATGAGGTTCAAGTGTCGGTGCCTCTAGACTGTTTATCGGTTTTGCACCCCAATAACGGAAATTGTGACTCCGCCTGTTCCTTGCTAAACCGAGGCTGTAGTTACAAAATAAAAAAAATATATATATATATTTTAGTAAGTTATTAGGTAGGTGGAGATGTTCATAAACTTACGGATTCTAGTTAGAGATACAATACACTTGGGGAATTTTCTCAAATCATTTTTTGCGCTATTTTTAACTTGTGACAAACTTATGTAGTCATGGGTAATTCACCTGTACTAAATTTATTACCTAACTTGTTTCAAAACTGAGTTTCAATATCGATATTCTGACAAAATTCTGTATTTTCACAAAAAAATTTCGCTTAAAAGTTCGAAATTTTATCATAGATAACGTCTAATACCTTCTTTTAACATAATCTAAATTCTGATGGAAAAAAGAAAATTAATTTGATGCTATCGAATTAAAATTATAAAGTTTTAGTTGATATATCATATTCGAGTTATGGAATCATCCATACGGAAAATCTGATATGGAAGTCATGTGTTAACCTTTGTCAAATTATATCCATCAAGATTACGATCGGGTGCTCAATCACTCTGTTGACGCTAAGTTTGGCAACTTTCCTTCTTTTATATGACAGGCGCAATACTTGAATTTAATGGATTTTCTCTGAGATACGGACTAAATTCTGCTAAAATTGGGAAACACACTTAACAAATCTTTAATATACAAAGTATATTTATGCTGTTTTCTATTATACTAAATGGTAAACAAATCAAATTTGTTAGCAAGATGGATTAACACGTCTTGAGACTCTCAGCAATAATTATTTCCAGGGCCTTTTGAATTTTCTATTCGTATATATAATTATTTTTTATTATAAATATCTTTTAAGCTGAAGCAGGAATAGGCCTCTCTACAGGCAAACAAGCAACTGTACTTGCTTTTCCTATAAAATAACCGCTATTAAACCTGATATAGTACCTAGTTTATATTATTCTATTACATTTATTATATTTGAATGTATAATACATAATTATAAGCTGCATTTAATCGTAAAAAATAAATAAAACTATTTTAATTATTTCATTATTTCTCAAAGCATAGTTAACACGAGCAGCAGACCGAACAGATATAATTAATATTTTATAAAGTAGACTGTAAAGTACAGTACATTTATACTGTAAAATTTGCATTATAAAATATTTACTTTGAACAGCATCAAAAATATTATATCAAATGATGCATAAGGCCAAGTCCACGTGATCAATCATTCAATTAACACGCCTTTAACATATATCCTATAAGATAACAGGAGTTTTATCTATATCCACATTTTATTAATTAACTTATGAATCGTTTAAATTGTAAATAAAACACTACTTAAGAATATTAAATCATTTACTTAGGGAAAGAAATTGATTCTGTAATCATTGTTAACAAAATACCAGCTCCATTTATGAATCATTTAACTGAAGCATTACGAAGAGATCAAGGTCTATTGATCAATCAGTTGACTTTCACGTGTTTGGTGATTTCTCCATTTAACTCTGACTTATTTTAATGCTTAAGAATGCTCAAAAATTAAAAAACAAAATGAACGATTGATGTTTTAAGAAACGATCAAACTGGCGACAAGAGGTACGACCATTTAAACAACTACTTGGCATTATTTATCAAAGGCAGTACTTGAACTATAAGTTGACTTCTATATCGATTTAACAACGGCGAGGACAACAGACCTCCTGTATTTATAGGAAACACAATAATTGCTAACGTTCTATAAATAGAATTCCACTTGGGGTGACGCCAGAGCGACACTTGTTCGCTAATCTGTCTCCTCTGTCGACTCGATACATCGGTTTGTAACAATTGTATACACGATAAGCGCTCTAGTAGATGTTTAAAATCACTTTAAAAAAGAATATACAAAGTTACAAAGTCACATACAGACATAAAAACAATTCCGAGCGCTGCAGTTTATTGTAGAGAGCTAAACGCACGATACTCAGCGCTGCAATTCTTGTACTGAGCTAAACGCACGATATTGATCGCTTCAATTGTAGTGAGCCAAACGCACGATATTGAGCGCTGCAATTGTTGTAGTGAGTCAAACGCACGATACTCAGTGCTGCAATTGTTGTGGTGAGCCAAACGCACAATATTGACCGCTGCAATTGTTGTAGTGAGTCAAACGCACGATACTGAGCGCTGCAATCGTTGTAGTAAGCTAAACGCACGATACTGAGCGCTGTAAATCGTTGCAGAGAGNCAAACGCACGATACTCAGTGCTGCAATTGTTGTGGTGAGCCAAACGCACAATATTGACCGCTGCAATTGTTGTAGTGAGTCAAACGCACGATACTGAGCGCTGCAATCGTTGTAGTAAGCTAAACGCACGATACTGAGCGCTGTAAATCGTTGCAGAGAGTCAAACGCACAATACAAAAATCGTTCATTTTGAGAAAATAAAAACTAACAATAATAAGTGATTTCAATATATTTTCTCTATCATTAACTACGTATTAAATTTAATTATCATCAAAAATAATTACACATCAGTTACTTCAAAAAACAAAACATAGATGGCGCAACAAAACAGACAGGCACATCTAATAGAAAATATAAAATATAAATGTACTTTATGTAAAAATATATTTATTTTAGGAAAATAACGCAGATGGATTTATAAAAAGATACAAATGCAACCGGCTTACGATCGGTTAGAGCTAGAAGAGAATAGTTTCAAGGTGAACAAGGTGTAGTACTTGATACATGACCTTGGCGGTAGATGCTATTTATAGTTCAATGGAGCGAAGTGTAGGACTTTATTCGGTCACGTGATTTTCACTTTTAGTTAAAAAAAAACAAGGGAGAACAAAAATGTCGGCTGCAACTTTTACTTTATACAAACTTAATGGATATTTTTAGTCTCTAGGAATATTTGGGAGTTCGTTCTTTCCGGGAAATGAAGTCCAGTCTGTTTCACGGAAATCTGTTATCTATTTTTAGAAACTTTTTTCAATTTACATATTTTGAAGGAGACTTTTGATATATTCCAGGTTCTTTACGAGAGTGTTTTGATTTATTTGATGATTTCTAGCGTGTTTTAACGAGACTTTTGCTGTAAGATGATTTGGTGGGCATTTTCCTTAAACAGGATTTCTATTTTATAATTTTATAGTTTTTTTTTTATCGTTTATATCTATCAGTGTGTCTCTCTGTCGAATTTCTTCGAT